AGAGAAAGAATATAGAGATAAGAAGAAATCAACAACCTTGAAAAAACAACTGAAAGCATTCCAAGCCTCCTTCTTCAGCTGCATTCGGGCTAGGGAAGCAAAGACTCTTTAGGATCTCTCTCTTGGGGTCACCCTGACCTACAGGAGCCCCGAGAGAGAGAGAAATCAACATGCTGTCATTCCTTGCTCGTCCAGAGATGGTGACTGCCCCCCCTTCCCAGTCCATCCCAGTGCCTGGGCACATTTCCATGGCTGCACTGGGGTTCTGGTGTTTCTCTGGGGCTGGTTTGGGTTTGGGTCCCTCTGGGCACACAAAACCAGGAGCCCATCAGAGTCTGGGGTGTCCCTCTGAGCTGCACTCTGTGGTTTGGGGTAAATAAAAGCATGGAAAGGCAGATCCTGTGGGACTTGCTGGGAATGGTCAGTGCCAGGTCTGGGACACCTGTGTGAAACACTGCCCACTTCAGTCATCTCTACTCTCCTTTCTGAGCAAAACACGTTTAGCACTGCAATGAAGCAGCAATTTTGGATGTTTCTAACTTGTTTAGCAAATCCAATTCCAATTCCCAATTTCCCTGCTTGGCCCTGCTGTTCTCTCCAGAGGTATTGGGATCCCTGGAGTCAGGAGGTGGCAAATCCATTTGTTCTGCTTTTCCTGGGGCACAGCTGTTCCAGCTTGCTGCTTTTTGCCTGTCTGAGAATTCCTCAGGCCCAGGGGCTGATTTCCTGCCCCATGTGCTCCCCGGGGTATTTCTCCACTGGGAATTTTTACCCTCCCACTGCTCAGAGTTTACCTGTCTGGAGCTGCTGCTTTTCCCTAGTTACAGATAAGGGCAGCATCCTTCTCATGAGTGTGAGAGAAATGATTTATAACTTTCTGTACCATAAAAAGTCTTTTTATAACTTAGACTTTTCTATGAGAGACCTTTGGACCAACATCTCACATGACAGCACTGTTACTCACTTGTGAGTGTGGCTTTTTCCCTGCATTTATAAAAGAGACAACTTTTAACTGCTTAACAAGAGACAACTTGTTTTTAGCTGTGAATGTAATTTGCTTTTTAACTGCACCTCTGATTTTCAGCAAAGCTGTGGTTTATTTAAACCAGCCCCGTGGTCTTGCAAAGCTTAGACAGTAACTTGAGATGTCACAGTGAGCACACACAGTGATCAAAATTATGGAGCAACTGCTCTGTGAGGAGAGATTGAATTCTTTAGGATTTTTCCACTCTGCAACGAGAACACGAAATGCAGAGTTATGGAGGGAGCCTCTGAATTCATGAATAGTGTGGGAAAGGTGCACAGAACATCATTTTTCATCCTTTTTCATATACAAGAAACAGGCAGTATGCAAACGTGGAGTGTTCTTAAATAGCACGGAATTAAATTTTGGAATGCGCTGCCGCAGGAGATTGCGGAGGCCAAAAGCATGAATAGATTTTTAAATCACCATCAGTGGCTATTGAAGTGAAACAAAAACCCTAAAAACACACACAAAACCACTGCTCTGGGTACAGACTCCTGTTCAGGAAGATCCTAAAGGGCTGATTGCAGGAGCTGGAGTGTTACAGGCCTTGGTGACATCCCCAGCCAGGAGAATGAGGTGATGAACATTATTCAGCCCCAATTAGGGATTTTGTCAGGGCCATATTCACTTCATGGTTTCCCTTTGCTGGCATCACTAGAACCATTTAGAGACTGAATTTCATTGATATCAGTCCCTAGTGCAAAAAATCTATCTTGGTCTACAGCTCAGGGGTTTTATTCTCATTTTAAGCCATCTTAAAAGGGAAATGACCCCAAAGCAGCAGCAGAAACTGGGAGAGACCAGAGACACAAACAGCACTGCAGAATTCACCCAGTGGCTTCCTTCTCCCAGCTCCACATTACCCTGGGAGGGAATGCCACCAGAGGGGCTCACACCTCTGATTTTCCTGTTTCCTTATGGCTTGCACTTCCCTGCCCATGACACCAGGCATGGAGAAACCCCCCCTTGATGGAATTTGCCAACAGGTTGAGCAGTGAAATCCACACTTCAACTGGACTGCCCCAGCACTGCTGCCAAAAATAACAGAGATAACAGGTGGAGGGGGAGCTGGGATGTGGAGCCAAATGCTCCACAGGCATCCTTTGTTTTTTTCAGTAAGAGGGAATTTTTCCATGCAATTCCAGCCCTGGAGCACTCGTGGTGCTGGGAATGACTTGTCCAGTCCTTTTCATCCCAAGAGTTTTCCTGACTGTGCTCTAGGGATGCTGAAGTTCACCACCTTTGGCACTGGGAGCAGAGGTTTGGTTACAGCTCAAGCTGGAGTTCTGCTGCCCTTGAAATTGCTGAGGAATCCATTCTCTCCATCCATTAATGCTGAAATCTCTCATTGCTTGGCTGGTAGGAGTTTAGTAATCTATAAGCTCTCTTCAACCCCTGATGATTAATAATTACACTAAAAAAAAAATCCAGTCTTTGTTTAAAATTTGTGGCAAATTCAGTATTTTTATGTTGGTTTATGCACTTCTGTTGCTGACATCAACATCCTTCAGGACCCATCCTGGGGATGGATTGACAGAAACATTTGCTTCATGTCTTAATTTCTTTCTTGTGCCTGAGTCTTGTAGGTTAAGAGTGAAGGCTGAACTTGTGTTTGCTGTGTCCACACACTCTATCTCATTTTTTTCACAAGAATTCTCCATATTTTTTTTGGATATTAAAAGAAATGATTAAGGCTTTGTGCCTCGAGAAATCCTATAAATCAGGATTAAAATCCCTGCTTTTGAAGAGAGCTTTTGATATATCCCTGGGCTTTTGCTGACAATCTGAATTCAATGAAAAACCCCTCTTTTTTTTTTTCATACAGAATTGCATCAAATGATTTGCAATGCCCTTTCTTTGCCTCTAGGCAAGAAATTAAGTCTCATTATTCTAAAACTTAAGAAAATAATATAGTGGCCTACTGTCTTTCTCACGAGCTCTTGAAATGGGAAGTTTTTTTGGTCCATGGAGAAAAGATTCCAAAGGCTGCTGCAGGAATGTTGCAGTAGATTCTGTTTGCTTCTAAGTGATTTTTGGCTGAATAATCAATCCAGATCCATTGATACAATTTTGAATTCAAAGCTGGGAGATCTGAATTTTAATTTTCCTGCTTGTCCACGTTTTTTGTTGCTTCCAAACATCTTAGCACAGGAACTTTTCCATCTGCTGGCAGTGGGCACTCCTTGGGGGTTTGCTCCCTGTAGTACTTTACTAATCACAATGAGATCCCAGTTTTGCCCTCCCCTTTTATCTCTTTACAGCAGATATTGTCATACCTGACAAGTGATTTATCAACATTTACAGTTCAAAATCTCATCTTCAACACCATAAATCAGAAAAACACACTTGTATCACTATAAAAAGTTCTATGGTACTTTTGCTCCTGAGGAAGGCCCCAAAATCTTTCTCTTCTGTCTGAATTCTATCACTTGATGTAATTTATGTTCTTTTCCATGCAATTTCTGTCCAGTTGTTTATTAATGAGGTATTTAGGATCACAAAAATTGGTAATTATTAGATACATAATGCAAATAGTTAAATAGGAAAATGTCTTTGAATCACTGAGGGTCAGCATGATTGTTATGAATAACTATTTAATAATAGAAATATCCTGGATTATTAAACTAGGGTTAAGAATAGAATATGAAGTCAAGAGCTGTCTTTTGATATAAGAAAATCAAAATCCACAGCAGTAGTTTTGTTTCCAAAGCAATTTTTTTTCCAAGTAAATTGTTTTCAAAGGTAATAATTGAGGAAATGGCCTCAAGTTGTGTCAGGGAAGGTTTAAATTGGATATTAGGAAAAATTCCTTCCAGGAAAGGGTTATAAAACATTGGAACAGCTCGGGGAGGTGGTGGAATCCCCATCCTGAAGTGCTGAGAAAATGTGTGGATGTGGCACTTGAGGACATGGATTGTGGTGGGCACTGGCTGGGTTTGATGTCACAGGTATTTCCCAACCTTAACAATTCCATGATTCCACCTTGGAGCCCCCTGAGTCAGGGTTCCAGTGGGATCCTCCTTGACAGAGTCATGGAGGTGTTTATTTCTTGCCTCCATCCTGCTCAGCTCCACCAATCCCACTGAAAAATGGCAATGATGTCCAGGCTGGATTTTGGGAGGTGCTCCTGTGGAGTCTCTGAACCATTGCAATGATCTCCAGGTCAGATTTTGGGAGGTTTTCCTGTGAGACCTCTGAACATTGCAATGAAATCCAGATGAGATTTTGGGAGGTGCTCCTGTGAGATCTCTGAACCATTGCAATGATGTCCAGGCTGGATTTTGGGAAGTGCTCCTGTGAGATCTCTGAACCGTTGCAATGATGTCCAGATGAGATTTTGGGAGGTTCTCCTGTGAGATCTCTGAACCATTGCAATGATGCCCAGGCTGGATTTTGGGAGGTGCTCCTGTGAGATCTCTGAACCATTGCAATGATGCCCAGGCTGGATTTTGGGAGGTTCTCCTGCTCCTGTCCCAGCTCTCTGAGCCCACTGGGCGCTGTAGCTGCTCCTTGTGGCACTGTCTCACTCCAAAGCCATTCCCACAGCCCAGATTTCCCTGCAGACAGCAAACCAACCCCTTGTGCATAACTGGGGCCAAAATAGTCCCAATATTCTCTTTCCTGCTACTCCAGAGACTCGTGAAATGTGGGGTGAGATCATTGCAGCCTTTTGGGGTTTGCTGCAGTTTCCGATTTCTTTCGGGCTCTTTTTTAAGCTGGGCTGTCCTTAGGGAGTCACTGCTGGGTGCTGGTGTGCCCAGGGTCCCTGCAGGCATCCTGGGATCAGAGGGCTCAGCAGGGACTTGCTGACATTCTTGGGAAGAATCCAGTGCTGGGCTAAGAATGAAGAGTGGCAGAAAACACTTCTTAATTAATCATCCACAAAGGAATTAATGCCGGTGCTGTTTGTTTTATTTTTAATTCTCTAAGTTCACTGTAAAGAAATCCTGTCAATTATTTTATTTTGCAGCGGGTCAGGATCTAACCAGCTGAGTCTCAAGTGGAAATAGACTGGCAGGTCCCAATAAAGATCTACTGGAAGAAATTTATTTACACTCGTGTAGAAAACACTGCACTGAGTAGTGTGTTAACAGCCTGTAAGTATGTTTCTATTTGCTGCCATAAATCAACTTGTTGCAGTCCATGTAATATTTCAAATCCCACATCATTATTTATAATGATTCTTTACCAATCAAGAATTTTGGGGGATATAAGGTGCATTTTTCATGTGAGGGCTCCAGCTGAATTTCCATCTCCTTGAGTCGCAGATGCCTTTGTGTCATGAGATCTTTTATTAAAAAAAAATATAGCACACTGCTCCTATGCCAAATATTCTTTTGGAAAGCTATTCTTGCTCCCACCCTCAATAGTAACAAGAAAATACTGCACTAGGAGTTATTTTTAAGTGGCTGGAAATAGCATCCATATTATTTCAAGCCACTGATGTATAAAATGTTTGGAAGAAAAGAACAGCCACTTGTTTATTGCAGGTTGTTTGTTCCCATTTGTTCATTCTTCAATTTTAGAAAAGTGCCACGTGAGCAAAAACTACCATCCAAGATAATTTGTAAGCACCAGGCACCCTCGTGTACAAAAGAGTTATATAAATGAGAATTGCTATTATTTTTCTCATTTCTGTTGGGATTAAAACAACAAACCTTGGCATCCTGAATTCTTCCACACTGGGATCTGTCTGTTAGGGCAGTTCTCAAAAACTTGGAGAATCAATCTCACAGAAAAAACTTTTCCTTCTATTAACAGAAAGGAATGAGGCTTTATGCACAATATATGGGGTCCATTCATTAAGTTTTACAGGTGGTTAAAATATTAAATCAGAAAAAGGCTTTGTGCTTTAGAGAAATTCAGAATGTGGAGATTGTGTCAGACATTAAATAATTGGGGTTTTCAGCTGTATCACAAGGGGTGTAACACAATTTTACAGCTGCAATATTTGTGCAGGAGCTAATTGTGGTGCCTGCAGAAAATGAGAATTGTATTCCAGCAACAGAATTTATTTATTTTCAGTTCAGACACCTTAGATATAAATAATTAACAAAGTTCAGAAATAATTGGTACTTTCTACCACTTTATGTAGGTAGAGATAAAATTTAACTAAATCCTCAGTGTATTTCTAGTGTCACAGTCAGCTTATGACTTCAAAGACAACAGAATTTGTACCATATGTGTCAGGAGTAGCTTGAGAACATGTAAAATAACATCTTAAATGCACTCACACTGTGTGCTTCACTTTTTAAAATTATATTCTTCAAAAAGGAGTTTTTGCTGGATGCTGTTATGCTCCTCATTGCAAGTGTAGATGCTTCTAAAAGCATTAAAAAATAAATGTTAGCAATGTTTGCTTGTGAATTTTAATTCATTTTATAGATACTTTCCATCTGTAATTAGCTCCACTGCCTATTCTATAGCCAGATTTAATTACTCCTACAAAAGCCAACAAAGGAGATTCTGGAATCACCCTGTGTTTGCAACAGAGGAAAATGGGTGAGGATGCATCCAGAATTCCCTTCTCCAAGTGTTTATTTGATGGAGAACATTTTTCTCCTCACCAAAGTGTGTCTAATCGGAGCCTCCCAGAGCAATGCCAGGCATGCAATGCCTGTCCCATAATTCTCCTTGGAGACAGTGCACAGCTGCTGCAGTGAGTATTAGCTGCTTCTTAGGCTTGGTCTTTTCTTTCAATAAAAATCCCAGATGGCCAGGGGGTCTTTCACACCACCCTGCTAAATATCAGCCTGCCTCAGGTGGAGAGGTGATGTAAGTCCATATAATTCTGCTTTAAGTGCAAAAATCCCACACTGAGCTCGATTACTGCCTGTTTTTCTCCAGTCCCTCAACTGGCCAGACTTGATCCAATGGCAGGAGTGGCTGGAAACAGGAATTATACACACAGTGACAGCTCTGCAGGGCTCAGCTCTGGGTGTGTTTGTCAGGGGAACCTTTCCAGCTTTGGGACTGAGTCCTGGCAAGTGCTTGAGGCTCCTCCAAAGCTCCCAGTTGTGCCCAGTTTGCCTCTGCAGTGCTGATTTCCCTCTGCTCACATCCTCTGCCAGGGGACACTTTCCATCATCAGGGGCTGCTGCTTGAAGGCTGTGCTGCTCATTTTGGGGTGACAGCACATTCATACCCAACATCATCACAGATATCTCACTTTCTAAATGAGCTTCTCTGTTGAAAAAGAGTAATTAGGGGACAGGGGTTTGGTCATTATTCCCTTGCAGGCCTGTGCACCATGAGTTCTAAAGGAAGGACTGGGTTTGGCACTCAGTGCTCTGGGCTGGGTGACAAGGTGGGGATTGTCACAGGTCGGACTCCATCATCTTGGAGTTTTTTTCCAATGATTCTGTGATTTCTCTGCTGTGATGTCCCAACAAAAGGCTGGGATCTCACAGAACCCACAAGTTTCCCTCAGTTTGTCCCAGGTGTTGGAACCCTGGATGCTGAGAATTTTAAACTTTCTGTTCTGAAAGGCACAGGCCCACAAGAGAATTCTATATTTGACATGAGGCCATAGAGAAAGCTTCCAAAATGGATTAATAGCACTGAGATGACGAGTGTGTAGTTTGAATAACAGTGTTGCTGTCTCATTCCAGCTCAAAGCAGGAGGAGATGGAAACTGAACCTGAACTCAGAGCCAGAGGAGTACAGAGAAGGGATGGACAAGGGCACAGAGGCTGTGATGGGCTGGGATAATTTTTAGAATTAATACTGGTGGGTACCAACTTTGTCTCTGGACAATCTATTGAACTTTGCAGGAAAAAAATTGAATCTATTCAATATATGTAAGTTCAATCTATTTTACTTTATTGCAGAGAACTGGAGAATTTCCCAGCTCCAGAGGTTTGCTGAGAGCACTGAGCCCAGCTGACAGGGCAGGACTGCACTGCCATGGCTTTGCCAGGCTGTTTTCCAGGCTCTTGAGCTGCACAATTTCTTTCACGTGGCCTTTTCAGGTCAGAATACCCCATTACCAACTAATTAAACAAGCCAAACTTGAAGCTGCTTTCTGATTGTACCTCAAATTTCTCCATTCCTGCTTCTAAGCCGAGTCATTGCCCCATAAAGCCAACGACAGAACTCCAGGGAGTGAAATACAATTGCAGCACTAATATTTATCCCATTGAAAAATGAATAGGCAGAACTCATTTCCCCCCAATTTTTCAGACCTGTGTTAAGCTATGCTGTCTACATCTGAGGTTTTTTCAAAATTTTAATGATTTCTCATTTGTTCCTGCTCACTTAAATTTTTTATTATTCTTCCACGAATCTCCTGTCATTAATTTGAATCTTTGTGGTAATGACAATTCTCAGCTGGAGTCTCAGCATATGCAAGTTTGTATCACTTAAATTTTATTTTCCTGCCAAGCTCAGTTCTCACTCACAGAGCTGCTCTTCACCACTACCTTCATGACTGGGTTTTATTTATTTTACTTTTCTCATGGGGAAGCATTTCAGATAAATTTCTTTTCAAGTATTTTTTTTTTCCATCCTGTTCTATCAGCTTGCTTTCTCTCTTATTCCTCTTTAAAACACTTTTTATCATTCTTCCTTAAAACTGCAACATCTTCTGAGGCATTTTTTTTTTCCTTAGACTTCATTTTCATGTTGGTTACTTTTTCTTCCAGAACACATCATAAAAGAGCTCAAAATCCAGCCTATTGCCAGTCTTGGTGGAATAGTCTAGACTTAACAGTTCATTACATTTGCCTTTAATGACTGTTTTGCATTCTGCTTATTAGCACTGCCTGTTGATTTTCAGTCTCTGTGTGGATGTGCAGCCTTGGTATTGGATGGATATCCAGGAAACACCAGTGGATGGTGTGGAAAAATCTGAATTTTTGGTCCAGTTGTTGATTGGAATTTAGTTCAGCTCTTGGGAAGGAATTCCTGGCTGGAAGGGTGGTGATGGACAGGTTCCCAGAGAAGCTGTGGCTGCTCCTGGATCCCTGGAAATGCCCAAGGCCAGTTTGGACACATCTTGGAGCAGCCTGGGATAGTGAAACGTGTCCCAAACAATTCCATGATTCTGTGATTACAAAATAAAAGGTTAAATCAGACAAATGTCTTCAGGAACAGGCAAATTCCCATTGATCACATTAAACAGGGGAGGAGGAGCCACCTGCTGATGTCTTTCAGGTGCTTTATTATCCAAATTCTCCTTGTTGAGGACAATTCTGGCTGTGCATTTTTGAGCTGTTGTCAGCACCTCAGCCCCAAATATCTGCCAATCTCACCTGGTCTTCTGCTTGCAGATAATCTAAATGATAAAGGAATATTGAGAAACACCTGAGGATGCTTGACCATGCTCAGCTTTGGCAGTTCTGGAATTTTTAATGGAAATTTAAAAATTAGTAGCTCCCTTTCAACCCCAAATTTAATTTTGAGGCAAATCTTTATTTTGGGCAAAGTAATGCATTGTTCCTGGGCTTTGAATTTTGGAGGTTTAGTGCTGCACAAAGAGGGCTTCAAAGAGGTATCATCTCATCTAAGCTTGTACTAAAGGTCCAGCTTGTCCATTTAATGTTGGTCTGTTCCTCATATTTTAATTAAGCTTTAATTTTGATAAGCTACTTCCACTCCTCTGCACTTGATCATTTTCCCAGGAAGTTGTTTCCTACTGGGAGGTTTTTAGGCTGGAGCTGTCCTGCAGCTCCATCCATCTCTGCCTGGGGTTGTTTATGGACCAGTCTGGCAGATTGGGGCTGGGTGGAGCAGTTGAGATCCCAGGAATTTCCAGAAATCCTGCTCAGCTCAGGGCTGGGAAGGAGCCAGAGTGGAGTGGAGCTGCTTTGGAAATGTGGAGCTCTGACCCCTAACCTTTGATTGCATGGAAGCTGTATCATCCTCTTCCCTTCCTTCAGGCTTTTGCATATTTTCTGCAAAAATTGTGGAAGCAGAGACCAAGGAAAATCCCCTAAACTTCCAACCAGCTCAGGAATTCATCCTGCAGACTCATTTTCCCCGTGGCTTTAGACCAATACTGACCAAGTCCACTGAACCTTTATATAACACAACTTGAATTTTGGCAATTGCTGGTAAAACCAGTTCCTATCACCCTGGACAACAGATATTTGAATTTGCTTTTGATTTTCCTCAATAGGAATTTTGTGTTCCAGACTATTTGTGTGCCCCTGTCATCTTGGAATACTTAGAGCCTGTTTCTTTTTGGATGTTGGGCAACACACAAAGTGTGACTGTCTCCAAGCTTTGCTCAAAGGGGCCCCAAATCTTTGTTATCTTCAAGAAGGAAGGCAAGATCATTAAAAATAATTATCCAGTGCCTGCTACTTGTTAATTACTTGAAAGTTCATTATTTTAGACTATGCTCAGAGTATATCCTGCCTGGACAGTAGCCTACAGGTTCTGAATATAATTTTATTAGTGTCTTTGAAGCAGTCTATTACCTATTTAAAAATACTTCAAAATGTAATTATTTTAATGATTTTTAATCCTACAGGATGCATTGCTAATTATTACTGATATTATAAATTTATTTTATTGTATGGGGTGGATTTTGCCTGATGAGTTTCGGGGTTTTAATTAAAAGTTCTAATGGATTTATTACTAATAGCTTTGGGCCCTGTTAACTGGAATGCAAATCACCTTTCCTGCCCAGTATTTTCTGTGAGAGATGTAGGCAATCAGAGAAGTGATTCAGTCCCTTTCAACTGGCTGGAATTTGGTGATTTCCACCTTCCAGAGAAGGCTGAGACCTGTCATGGATTGTCCCATGGAACTGATGTTGGATAACTGAGGCTCTCACACAGAATTTGTCCTCTGCAATGAGTAATTCCATCAGCCAGGATGTGAGGAACTGATGTGACCTTGCAAACTTCTGTTTATCAGTGTGATTGCACTCCAAAAGTGACCAAACTCCCAGGAAACTTCTGCCCAGGGTGGGTTTTGGAAGCAGGGAAAGAATTTAAAATAGGTGGGAAATGAGGAGGGGAAGTGGGAGAGGGATCTGAGAGCCAGAGCTGAGGAGGTGGATCCAGAGGTGCACCAGCAGTGGAGCTGGCTGGAAGCGGTGAAGGAGGTGTGGGAAGCAGGAATTTGGGTGCAATGGGGTGGGCTGGGGCACTGGGACAGTGGGGTTTCTTTTTGTAGGTCTGCCCTTGCACGTTGGACATCACAACTCTTTCATATTTCAGTGTTATTGTTTTGCTGAAAAGCCAGGTGTCTGCTGAGGAAGGCAGGAGCCTTCCTTGAAATGGGAAATGTAAACCCCTTCTCCAAATTATTATAGTTTTGAAATTAAGGGGTTGCTTTTATAGTTTTGAAATATTTATTATAGTTTTGAAATTAAGCTGCTCCTCTGGGAATGCAGTGGAAGAAAGCTGCTCCTCTGGGAATGCAGTGGGAAGAAAGCTGCTCCTCTGGGAATGCAGTGGGAAGAAAGCTGCTCCTCTGGGAATGCAGTGGGGAGAAAGCTGCTCCTCTGGGAATGCAGTGGGGAGAAAGCTGCTCCTCTGGGAATGCAGTGGGGAGGAAAGCTGCTCCTCTGGGAATGCAGGGGGCAAAGGCTGCTGTGCTGTTCCCAGGTCAGATTGTATCCAGGTAGGAATGTTTGGCTCCTCCCCTGGGCAGAGCATCTCCCCATGGATGATGGAATTTTCTCAGCCATGCAGGGACACTCACTGGCCATGCACAGAAGATAATTAATAATTAATGGCCCATGATCAGAAGATAATTAATAATTAATGGCCCATGAACAGAAGAGATGTCCTGGAGGGAGGATGGGTTGTGGGAGAGACAAAGAAAAAACTGCCCAATGAACAGCAGAGAGCTGCCCCACCTCTACAGGTGGAAATAGAACACACACCCAGCTGCATCTTTCAACCTGAAAGAGTTATTTATTAAACCAAATTGTTAGTTAAATTATTAAATACTTTAAATCTGTTAGAACTCTCCTGACATCTCTGGCTGTGCTCTGAGTTATAAAAGATTCTGTGTTTAAAGCTGTGCAGATCATTTTTGAGCCCTGACATTGCTGTGCTGGGTTTTCTCATTAAGAGGATTTTATAATTAAACCCTTTTCTACCAGCAAAACCTGTGTCCATGAGAAGGTTTGTAACCAAGTGTGGGGAAAGCTGGAACTGGTGCAGAACTGGGGACGTGAGGATGAGGTGTGAAGGGCAGAAAGGTATGGAAAGGATGGAAACCACTGTGCAGCTTTGTATGGGACATTTGACAAAAGGAGTGGCACAGAGCAATCAGTGAAAAAAGATCAGAGAAAAGCAGGAGTCACTGCAATATTGGCAGTGCTGGAGATGGGAATATTTTAGCAGCCTGAAGCCATCTGGTTATAGACAAATGTGCACTCCTGAGGCCTTCAGAGCACACAGGGAGCACAGATCCTACAGCTCTTCCCATTTTTCACCTCTTACGTTTCTTCCCAGGAAGAAAATAGTCCAGAAGAAATGCTGGGAATTCAGACGTTTCACCACATTGCACAACAAGGGTGGTTAAAAAAATCCCCAACAAACCCAAACAGACAAAAAATTTATTTTATTAAGACAGATTTTGAAGCCTGCTGATAATGCTGTGATTTAAAGGAGCCCAAGACATTTAAATGCCTGAATAATATGGGATATTCATAGGAAAAAGAGGCATAAGCGCTGTCCTTTTTGGGAAATTGGAGAAAGGATGGGACAGTGTGGGTTAGCCTGGCTCTTACCTCCCCTGTTTAACTGCAGTTGAGGTGTTTTCTTATCACCTCGCATCTGAGATAAAGCCCAGAGGATGGATTTGAATTAAGAATACTCAAAAAGAACCTGCATGAGGCAAAATTCTGATGTAAAATGAAATTCCTTGCACATTGCTCTAACGCTTCGAGCCAATTGAACAGAAAGTTTGCTCCTGTAAACCAATTTACTGATTAAAAACAGCACACTCTGCTCATCACCTCCATCAGGGCGGCTTGAACTCCTCTGCTGACTTCTCCAGACAAATGCAAAGTGACATCTCCAAGAAGAGCAGCTATTACTGGCACTCAGGA